ACCCCCACCCTGTCGCCTACTTCCCGAATCAAACATCATCACTATGTATATTTCACTCTGCTTCGGCAGTTCAATTTTATCGAGTTGTGTTCCACCTAACCCTCTTATTTCAGTACGAAGGTCGAGATAGGATATCAGCTCTTGAGGCAATGCATCACAACTTCCTTAAGGTCCTTCCTATCAAGGTAAGGCTATTTTTACAATGGAATTTTTCGTTCGTTCAAACAAAGCTTGCTGAGTAGCTTTGATTCTACGTCGGGAACCCCCACCGGGTGGGAGGAGGGGGGAGGGGGAGTACTAACTATTTGGTTCGAGAAAAGTTTCTTGATAGTTGATATTTCCTGCTTCACGGGCACTATTCACATTGTTGGGAGAATTCTAATGGGAAGGTGTAGGGGGTAGTAAAAGAGGACGAAATTTCGAGTCGATTTTCCAGAAGTTTTCCCCAACGGCAGGGGTTGCCCTGATCTCAGATGCTGATACAGTTGTGATGTTCAGGTGATGACGTTACGTGACGATGAGTCGGTGATGGATGTGGAAGGCGTCTCACTTGATCGTGAGATGATTTACAAAGACCACAATCATCTCCAGAGGCCTTCGAAGTCAAATCGGCGACAGAGCTTACTGATTTGACTTGTGCTCAAAGGCGATGGTAACCGCCAGGTATTCATCTCTGGTCCAAGTCCAATCTGGCTTCGTGCACAACAGTTTCCTCCTGTTTGATCTGAGCTCATTAGTACGGGTCACGATCGTAAGATCTTCTCGTAAGCAGTTTCTGTTCCATATATTTATCGTTTTTGCTTTCGTTTCGATCTGATACGGTGTTCTTGGTGTTTCGAAGTCAAATTAATCACCCGAAACTTGTCCACGTTGTATTACTTACAACACAATTCTAACATAGTTTATTATCTGATTTATAACCAGAACGGCTATCGAGCAGGTACAATATAACCCATCATACATCTGATAGATGCCTGATGTACAACATGTTCAGAACAGGGTTAGTGCAAAGACGACCTCATGGGTCGCTGAGGTGGTTCAATACTCGAGCCGGGCAGTTCGACGTGTGCTTCTTATTCAATTACGCTGTCCATATTTCATAGCGCTAATTTTTCTCGAGGAGCCATCCCTCGAGTGTTATCCTATTTCGGACATCATCCTTCCCTCGGACCAAATGTAACTTTCAGCCCTGCAGTATGAGTGCACGCTACCCTTCGAACTGACGGTTCTCAAAATGTGATAAAGAGTATGAACACTTAACGCGACTAGGGGGTCGTTTGACGCGGGTCGGTGACCATGATGGTTTATCTATGTGAATGGTACTAGGATTATGTTACCCACACTGTTACCACACTGTCTGTCCCCTATGCACATCTTCCCATCAGTGATCTGTGATGCTTGTACTTCTTAAACGATATCCCTGTTGTGTATTTGTCAAGAGACCAAAATCAAAGTTTTTTGCTACCTTATGAATCCATATATATCAGTAATTCCGTATCCTCACTTTGAACCAAATTGTTGTGTTCCTTTCTTTTGTGAATCACGTGTCTTTCCCACTTGTCGGCTGGTTAGAGTACTACACCATTTCGTTTACATTTTCTTCTTACTTCTATTCATTTCCCTCTCGATGGTCCTTTCGATAGTTGTACAAGTTGTTGTCAATCGACATTTGTGCACACGATTCCAGTCAGACTTCTTCTTCTTCTTGACGGTGTTTCAGTTCTGTGCTGTGAAGCAAGTATATTTATTAGATATTTATGAATGAAGTATTTCAAGTCTTCTTTGTGATTGATAAAGAAACTCGTTCCAACTCGTTACGAGGTTTCGGGCCTTGGAGCCAAGGTCTGCGATCAGGTGTAGAAGTTGAATATATGACGTCGGGAGGGTAGTGTGATCAGGGTACAACATCATTGTGTGAAACACATAGGGGGGGTCTTACTTTTCCGCTGGGGAAGGGGGAGTCGTTTGAATGTTTGAGGGAAATTTGGCGTTGGAAAAAATCTACCGGTTGTTGACTTTTCTCGTGATTTTGCTTGTTTCATACGTACTATACACCCTCCCCACCTGACAGCGGAACTTTTGAGAAAAGTAATGGTAGGAAGTTGGGATAAACTTAAGAAATTTTCCTGTTTCAAGCTATGTGCCCCCCACGCTCCTCCCCCCCCGCGCCCGTTTTACGGAAAATTTTTGGGTGAAAAACTGGATCGGAAAATGTGGGGAAATTGGTAGGTAGGTGTTGGGAAAGGGGGGGGGTCGTACCGAGACCCTCATTCAGGTGGGGGGTCGTCGTACTGACACCCTCTCTCGGAGGGGAGCCGTACTTACACTAACATTTCACACATCACAATGCTGTACCCTGAGTGTGATCATCGGCGACCGACCTTGTACTGGTTCACGGTAAAAAAATTTCAAATTTTAAAAACTTCACGTACAAACTGGTCTCCGAACGGGGTTCTATCTAAGGCAGTTGGCATGTTCCTTTCTGCCTTTTTCTTTACTTTTTCTTTACTCAGGACCTTGTCATCTATATGCAAACCCCTAATCCACTATCTGTGATGGCGAATGATCGTAGGGTTTGCCTTTGAGCACTTCTTCAGGTGTACATGCATAGCCTGCACCAACATCAGTTTGACTATTGTGGACAAGAAATTCAAAAAGGGAAACAATCAACAACTGACCGGCTTCCTACGGGAAGGAGGGTATGGCCGTAAGCGATGCTGAGGGAAAGGCGATTGTGGATATGTCCGCAACAGTGCGGAAATTTCCACATCAGTGCGGAAGGGCTAATGCCGTTTGGACTCCAGCAACTTCGGCACCGAGCTCATTTTTAAATTACCTAAGTCGCCAAACCGTGAAAATATGTATCACAGGGTATTTACATCATCTGATACAATCTATGACACTCATTCTTGGCGCTGGCGCCAAGGAATGACACTACGATTACCTCTTGGGCTCAGCCTTAGCGGAGCGCAGGTAATCGTAGTGTCATCCATTAGCGCCAGCGGCAAGAGTGAATGTCATATTCGTAATCAGGATGTTAAAGGCACAGTTAAGGCACCGACCGCAAATTGCGGGAAACGGAACTCAAATAGGCACAAAAAAGTGCTAGGTATCTGATTAGCGGAGAAAAGCAGCAGTAAAAGCAGTCCGAAATATTATAGATAAAGATAACATAGTGGCTACCAGCTAGTAGCTAGCAGCCGTGAGGGTCGGCATGGGCCTAGGTGTCCAGCTAATTACCAGCTTACTAGCGAGTTCTTGCCTGTTTTTCAACTATTTTGAAGGTCACGCAGATCTCAAAAAATCGCCTTCCGGGTCGTCCGACACATTTGAGAGGTCATAGCCTTATTTTTTCGCGGAATGTGCCTTTAAACTACCCCTACATACAAGTTTTTAGCGATTGTACGTTAGCAATTTAAAAAATGAGCTCGAGCCTGCGAAGTTGCTGGAGTCCAAACGGCAATAGCCGTCGGGAATTAGCGGCAGTGGAATCGAAGGTGACCAACTGGGGGAAGAGGGCAAATTGTTTCCAGTAACAAGCACACAACGTTTGAAACGTTAAATTCATGGCAAATAAATGCAATGGAAATGTCGAGATGCTATTGAAGTTATTGGGCGTTTACCAGCCATTGTCCGGTTCGATGTCTTCTTTTCTCTCTTCTCCCTAGCGTTAGTCCCGCGCCGTCGCAGGGTCCGCTGATCTTGTTAGACGTCGCCACTTGTTCCGATCCACTGCATCTTCTGCTGTGACTTTCACTTCAGTGAGGTCCCTCTTGATGACGTCCCTCCACCTTTTCTTCGGGGCTCCTCGTGGTCGCTTGCCCTCTACCTCGAGTTTCCAATGCCTTCCTTATTGGGTGGTCTTCAGGCCTCCTCAGTACATGACCGTACCATCGCAGTCGCTGCTCTCGTGCCTTCAGCTGGATAGGAGCCGTCTGTGTGACTGCTCTGACGTCCTCGTTTCTGACTCTGTCGAGTCGTGTCCAGCCGCAGGCCCATCTCAGCATCCTCATTTCAGCTGAGTGGAGCTGCCTTTCATGGTTCTTGCAGATAGGCCAGCACTCACTGCCGTAGAGCATTGTAGGCCTTACCACAGCCCGGTACACCTTGCCCTTGAGTGTTCTCGAGCATCCGCCGGTCGCACAGGATGCCAGTGGACTCCCTCCATTTCATCCAGGCTGCGTTGATTCGGGCCGTCACCGCCTGGTCCACGCTGCCATCAGCTGCTAGGTTGCTCCCCAGGTACTGGAAATCCTCGACCCTTTCGATGCTCTCGCCATGGCGATCTACGATGACTTCGGCGCACTCTTCGGAGCTTAGGAACTTGGTCTTCTTTACGTTCAGCCGGAGTCCATTCTCAGCGAGCACATCCTGCCACCGCTGCACCTTGTCCTGGAGTTCCTCCCTGCTGTCCGCTATCAGGGCGATGTCGTCAGCGTAGAGGATGGTTTTCAGTGGTCCCTCCATGAGTTCTTTTGCCATGACATCTAGAGTCAGGAGGAAGAGGAACGGGCTGAGGGCTGACCCTTGGTGTACCCCAACCGTAATGTTTACCTCCTTTGTCAAGCCGTGAGGGGTGCGTACAGCTGCTTTAGCCCCATCGTACATGTCCTTCACTATGGAGATGAGGTGTTCCGGAACGTTACGTTCTCTGAGCGCTCTCCAGAGTACAGGCCTTGGCAGGCGGTCGAATGCCTTCTCAAGGTCCAGGAAGGCTAGGTAGCAGGGTCGCCGCTTCTCTCGGTACTTCTCCATCAGCTGTCTGGCGATGAAGATGGCATCGGTGGTGGACCTCTCGGGCATGAAGCCGAACTGTTCCTGCGAGATAGGGACAAGTTCCCTTAGCCTTGTGTTGACCAGGCGCTCGTACAGCTTCATGGTATGGGGAGTCAACTTGATGCCGCGGTAGTTGGAGCACTCCGTCGCGTCCCCTTTCTTTTGAAGATGGGAACGATTGTGCTGCTCCTCCACGCATTCGGCATCCTTCCTTCAGCTGTTACGTTGTTTAGGAAGTGCGTGAGCCAACTCACCCCATGCTCTCCAAGGGCCTTCCATGCCTCTATCGGTACCCCGTCTGGACCCACTGCTTTCCCAACTTTCATTCTCCCTAGCTCCCGGCGGACTTCATCCTTCGTCCAGGGAGTGATGGGACCTGCCGTCGCCTCTATCTGTGGGCTATCCTTGCGAGGGAATTCTTCGTTCAGAAGTCCCTCGAAGTATTCTTCCCACCTCTTCCTGACTTCGGCTGGTTTCCTGAGAATGGCCCCGTTGCTGCTCTTCACAGTCTTTACGACCCTGATGTCCTGAGCAGCGCGATGCCGAGCTTTAGCCAGGCGGAAGACGAACTTGTCCCCTTCTCGGCCTTCCAGCTTGTCGTACAGGGCGTCCATTTCCGTATTCTTGGCCTTAGCAACGGCTGCCTTAGCGAGTCGCTTGCAGCTCTTGTAGGCAGCGTAGTCTTCTGGGCTCCGTGTCTTTTGCCAGCGTTTGTATGCTTCCTTCTTCTGCTTGACGATCCTCTGGACTTCCTCGTTCCAGAACCAGGCTGCCTTGTCTCCTCTGATACCACCTCGCGTCTCTCCCAGGACCTCCCTTGCACACTGTAGGATGACCTCTGCTGCGTAGGTCCAGGT